TGTGAACTGTGTCCTGCTTAATCCCCTACTTCCGGAGCTAGAAATGAGATTATCCGTAAGACTACCTTAGCATGCAAAATTATTAGGATGTCACCCGTCTTAACGTGACTAGGGGTAATGTCGTTGATCGAGTGAAATTGTAGATTATTGTTTTTGACACAGATCAGTTAAAATGGTAAGTAAAATAACTTGTGCACGCCGAAATAATAAAGTGGGACCATGAAAATAGGGGCAAAAAGCCCTGTATTAGCCTGAGATACATCCTGGGTAGCGATAGAATATGAGCGCCGAAATATTCTGCAATAGTCTATTTCCTATGCTCCCTTACTGCTTTTAATATGGTGGGGCTTTAGTGAGATTTTCCAAGGCGTTGTGAGCTGCTGTCATTGTACTAACGTAATATACGGTCTAACTGATATTGAATGAAGCGAGATAGGGGACCGTGGGATGCATTGTAGTTAACCCTGTCTATCGTCAGATTTTTCCGAAAGGTATATGTTCACATACGTTCCAGGTAGTTGTTACATAATCAGAAGGCACTTCCAGTCATTTCAATGACCAAAGAACAATGATGGAGAAACATATACGTTTTAATTATGGATTCCTGTATTGTAAAACAATTGATGAATAAAATGGATTGAACTTAAGAAAACATTTGTAATAGTAATTAGTATGTAGCATGTAATTACACACGAATGGACAACATGATGTCTTCCCTACTATAAACATTCGCGTCAAACTCCACTATTATAGCATTTATCTTCACAGTGCTTCATGGAAACCTTACCTGTGTTCGACAGCTTTCGGAGACAGCAACATTTGCAAGTCTTGCGCGCTGAAAAAGCGTATACGCTTAATTGGAAAAAGATTTTTCTGCAGCAAACCCAGTGGCATAAATGTTAGTCTTTTTAGAGGAAGGTTCCCTTCGAATAAAGTGCACACATGTGAAAAGTCTAATATAAGGGGAGATAATATCCCATGAAACGAAATTTCAGCAGGGCGGGTCAACTAAAATTTCATACTAGGAGCCCACTTTAAGGGACAGGTTAGTCAACCTTATAGGGTAAATAATAACCTTAAGGTACTCTATATTCCGTTTACTCCATAGGATCTATGCGCCCTAACGCTGCAGTTTTCAGATCTCAAATTTCCCGTCTAGGTCCCATCCTGTAGTAGAGGTGTGTTTATGAAGAATCTGTAGACTATTCTGTCTAACCAATTTATTGCTGTTTTTAGGGTGATTCATAATCGGAGGTTGCATTAAATCATTTATTTAAATGGAAGTTAGCGGTGGGCCGTGGAAAGGCTGAAGACTGAGCATATTTTATTTTGTCGAAGAAAAAGCGGGTGTTGAAAACTAAAAAGCACAGACACAGCCTGTATGCCTCGTCTCAGAAACTGAAGGTGGGCCCCCTTAAACGATTCATTTTAAATCCGAGAAATTTGCTTTGAAAGGTGTCCCTGCTCCAAACTCTGGTTTTCGTTCATCACCCAAACATTGTGTAGGTCACTGAAACATAGGCAACACCTTGTGCAGCCGACACCGAACTCTCTATTATAGGCTTCATTGAATCTCGAAGTGGTCGACACGACGGCCGTGGTGGAGAAAGCTGCATCTATGTTAAGCAGCCGCCTAAATCCCTGTCGTTGGACTGTCCACAATTTACCGCGGAAGAAGGCAGTTGTTGGCTCCGAGCTGTTCTGAAATTTAACCATGCGCTACTCGTTGTATGTATCACCCAACCGACGTCGGTGAAGTTTACAAAATTTGTCACCTACAGACATCTCGTGCCACACCTGGCTTTAATCTTCCGTAATGCTTGGTTGCAGGCGAATTCTATCTTACTGAAACTCAATGGTTTCTACCTTCCGATCTAGCAAAGTCCGAAGACTTACTTGGAGCATGAGGGATCAGAGAGTCGACCTTCCCACCCGAGGATCAAACATACTTGGGCTAGTTTCCGATAGAGTTTGTCAGCCATTGTTGGTGGCATCTTGAGACCCACTTGAAAGTTCAGAGCATACCATGGTGGTTTCCATTTTAGAAATCTAGGCTCAGATACATATATCCTAAAAGTACAGATTTTCTATGATTTCCCATCAACAGATTTGGCCGAAGGAACTACGCACCTTAATCCCAACGCTTGATCTGACTTAGTCCTAAGTTTTTGTGTGAATATCAGTTCTGGTACATTGTAAAAACTTTCGGATCCGCTCATTTT